GCAATACATAAGCTAAAAAAAATGAAAACTACGGCCAATTACGTAAGTGTAAAAGGTGTATTATAAGAAGATGGTTTTTGTTGATACTCACCCGATAAGACAACATTAAACCTGTCTTATTTAACATCCAAAATGGACAATATAACGCCATAACAGTAGATCCATGCTTGTAGGATGCATGCATTCCCAAGTCCATTACAACTTTTTCTGCACTATCGAAAGATTCGAAAGACCAGACTGAAAATTCTGGTGGATTTGCCAATATCTCGCCTCTACATGACCAGTCCTTCTCTAAATAATTTGGTAACTGCAACACATCATTGTACACAAAACGAGTATGTTAACCATTAATCCGAGTTCGCAATTTAAACATATCACAAGTGTAATTTACCTTGATGATTATATGAGATTTCCCAGGATCAATTGTAGGTATTTGATAAGATGTGCCTGCTTCCAGTAACTTCTCTTGGATACTTCCAGGAATTGATATAATGATATCGATAGGTAGGAAATTCTTCAAATATACAGACGGATACAAGTGAACATTATAAATGGTACTAGCCATCGTATGTCGGCTTGTATTTTCAAAATAAACTTGTTCTATCTCTCCTACAACCTAGAAGTGCATCAATTATCAATTAAAACGTATATTTTATTCCGCTACGGATACTCTATTGTTTCTCACAAAACTACCTACATCAATCAACAGTACTTGTAACATTGCAACATGACGCAGTATATGTAAATACATACATTCTAAATAACATAAATGAAACACGAAATACATGCAATTAACATATCGTAAGGAACATTAACGATATAATAATAAATTTTCAATATCTATATTGGCTTTTCAGTCCTCTGTACTTGTGAAGTCACAAAGGAAAGCATAACAGAAAATAAATAGTGAAATGATTCTTTCGTTAAAAAACAAAGTATTTTATACTGTTTAGACACGAAAAAGACATGAAATGATTGATTCTGAATGGAAAAGAAGAATAAAATAGAATAGGAAATAGACCGAAAGAATAATATTTTTAAGATGCTACGTTATACCTAAAAAATTACCATATTTCGTATATACATATAATTCAACTGTATTTATTCTTCTTTCTATTTTTCTTTGTTTCTTTGTTATATTGTTAATATAATACGACTAACGACTGCACTATGCGCTATATTGCCTGCTGTAAGTACGCATTCACAGTTACAATATGTTAAACTATGTAACAGTGATAAAAAAAAAATACGTATTTGTCTGATACCCAATCAATACTAAATAGCAAACCTTCCTCAAAGACTAATTAGGAAAATGGTAGTACCTGAATAGGTGCTTCCACGTATTTTGGGTGTTCTGAGGATATATTTTCCAAGCAAAAACGCTTGATATAATCAATGAAACGACAGAATATGGATTGCCAGTTAATAGCATCAAATAATAAGCCAACAGTGTTGTTATTATATAAAATACTACCAATCACAATCATCACGCAACACATCTAAAAGTAAAAACTGCTGCTTATGGAAGTATGTAATAGTGTTTCAACGAAACCTTTCATACACAGTGTTAAAATTAGATGGCTATTTATAAATCAGTGCTTATTTGAAACGCACCGAGTAACATTTGTATTACGTACTATACAATGCAACACTTTTATTTACTAATAAAAGTTGAAATAAGAAAGTAAGAGAGAAAGTAAGTTAGCTAAGTGTAAAATATATGTATATATATATATATGTGTATATAAATTCGTATGTAATTAATTACCTTTATGTAAAATGGTTCTACCACTTCTTGTTTTGTACGGCTTTCGCATTTTAAGAGTTTCGTCATAGAAACTGTCTTTTGTAAATCTTTCCAAACGAATGGTTCTAACGAAACCATGTACCTATGAACCAAACGAAATGTACATAACTCTAAACGTGAAGTGAACAATGATTACATTTAAAGTAGGCATATCACATGTATGTATTACTTGTCGACGCTGAAAAATAGCCAGTAAGTATTTGTCGGAGTGTAGACTGCATCTAATGGAAGATTCAATTTATTATCTGGTGCAACAGTGCCCACGCATTCAACTTCGTTTCCACGTTTGGTCATATAATATACAGATACTGTTTCGCTGAAATGATTATGCACCTAAAACGTATTTAATACTATGTTTTCTACTTCTTAAATAATTCATTAATAAAAGGTTACTAATAAACATGAAAATATTTTACCTGAAGAATGCTTCTAAGAGTGACAATAGTACTCCCTTCGTCCACTACAACATCAGATACGATACCCCATTCTTCGGAACCTTCCTTTCGATACCTTAACGAAAAGAACCTCTTATCGGCTCTTAAAACTGGTATCGCCAATGTACAGTCGATCTCTTTGAACTTGAAAAAACATTGCGTATCAATTAAAGATTATTTCAATCTCACAACCAACATAAAATTATAATAAAATATAGGAAATGCATGCTACCGAAACAATGAATTTATCATCTTCTCTTTCTTTAATCGAATCACTCTTTAGCTGATCTAGCAAGGGTATTTCAGTCTTCGTAGTTTTCGAAGCAAGTTCCACCGATGCACCAGATTCCAAAATTACTTCCATGTACGAGTCTGTGTTATCCCTTGTTATTTTCGATCCATCGTTAAATACCTAGAAGCAATAATATTTCTAATCTACCTGCTTTTGTGATTGTAATTATGAGATGCGAACAATTAATCTTGTAGTACCTTGAAGTAACTGCGTTCTAAATCTAGAACCATTGCTAAACCAGTTTCGTTCTTGAGTACATAGGGTGCTAAGTTTTTAGCAATGCTTTTCTCGCCGGTGTCCATTGCAGACGAAAATGCATTGCCAAGTTGCTTGAGCACATCGAGACAAGTTTTGGTGACGGTTATCTCCAAGTTCTCCTATTATAAAAACACATCGTTCAAATCCGTAAACATGCACCATCTTTTAAGTATGCGACTCACCGAAGATTCTATATCGATAGACATTTTAACTGATTGATGCCATTCCTCTGGTTCACTCTCAGAAGTTGGACTTGCTAAGCTTGCTCCTCTGGAATCTACCGTAATTTCGTTGAATTGAATCTATTAGAAAACAATAAAAAGAAGCGTAACAATGACTCAGGTCAATAAATAACTATAATAATCATTAGTCGCCTCAGAAATGAAATGTGTTACTTTAGTTTTTAACTCCCAAGGCGTGGAAACTCGCTTTCCATTTTTGGTTCCTTCTATAGGCTCGATTAATGGTTCCCATAATGCAAGACAACTGTTATAATATGCCATAATCAACGACATTGTAGCATCCACGCTCATCTGAAAATAATAATTGTTTACTAAACATAAGAGAAATATTCTTACATTCGATAACCTTGCATTTCTTACAGATTTCGAGCTCCAATCATTAATATTACTTTGAAATCCAATATGAAAGAGAAGCATGGGTAGGGTTTTATTACCAACACCTGCTTCCAATGTAAATAAAATTGTAGGTGCAGCAATTATTGCCAATTCTGGTTTATAATCTGCAGTAACGTCATCATCGGAATATGCAAAATCTTCTAGAACTTCTACTCCTACTTCTATCAAAAAAGAAAACAAAAAGGAACAAGTATGTAGATATTTCATGAACTGTATTAATTTTATTGATAATGATTATGTTATAACATGTTATCCAACCTGTTTTTAGAAACCAAAAATCGCTCTCTTCGTATGGCGTTATAATCCATAGTCCTTCATGATTTGATTCAGAAATAACAACTTCCTGATCCTTCGTTTCTGTTTTTGTAGCAGTGTGAACGACTTTATTTAATATCTCAATTACGCCTAAAGATAAAAATTCAAATATTTCCTTACGAAATCACCGTATTTTGGAAGAATAGTACCGTCTATTATATAATTATTTACCTGGTGATACCGATACATGAATGTCGGTGCAACAAACATCTATATGAAGACCTTTTCCCTCTGGTGTAGATCCAGCTACGCTAATACTGCATGGTCTCAAAACCTGCAGACAATAATTGATTTAATATATTCTTCTGAACAAGCGTAGCAATCACATAACAAGACTTCTTTGAAGTAGTACCTGATATATCCAATCACTTCTCTTCACCGGATTGTATACACCAGCTAAAATCGACAAATCTTTTATAGAACCAGTTATCACTTGGTGCTCACCCATCAGACGTACTTTTAAGATCAGCTCCGTCTTAAAAAAAAACAATATTAATGTATATCGCGTTTATAAAAGTGTATTATCTCGACAAGCGTTTGTTACATTTAATATGATGCAATTTGAATTGATGTCGTCCATGTCTTCGAGGAGTATAATATCTGGCTTCTCAATGTGCAGGTTAATAGTTAACATTTTTTTACTCATTGCAGCAGGAGTTTGTTTTTTCTTTGTCGCCGTTTCACCGTAATTCTTTGCTACACCCTGCGATACTGCTTTATTCGAAGGTGCTTCTTCAATAGCAAAAAAGTCTTTCACTTTCATCAAGTAGTCGAGGGACACAATTATGCTGAAGGAGAAAACTCTGACATCGACTGTAAGCAAAAAAAACCTTTCTCCTATAATATACTAATTGAATGTTAAATAACGGTAAACTTTAGCAGCAAATTAATTCACTTACCGAATGTATCATTCAAGCTTTGTCTAACAGTCATGTCTAACATACTGCGAACTGACTTCGAGTCTACTTCCACGTCGTCCATGGAAGGTACAGCTGTTGTCCTTTCCATAATTCTAATAAGAGAGCCTTGTCTACTCTGGCGTGTATCATCCAGAGTACAGTTCATAAGAAGAATAGAAGTTGCCAGTAATCCATCTGCAAATATCCTACCTTTCAATGCGAAATGAGTCAAAGAAAACTTTGCCAATCCATTCTCTGGTAAATGTAGTAGAGAGCTTTCGGACCGCAGCTGTAATTTATTTTTATATTTGGAGGTATAATACAAATAAACAACAGAAATGATAAAATGATACGAAATTACCATTTTCGATCCTCCTGTGAATAAGTTAATTACGAGACTATCCATAACAAACTCGAATTTGATGGACGTGTGTACATGTACTTGCTCCTGAAAGTCCGTGTCTTCCGCACCCGCTACAGCATCTTTTCCAAGTTTATCTAATTAGATAGAAATGTGATCGATATATCACAGCATACACGAATGAAACAGAGTGCGTGTCATTTGAACTTACCACTTTGGTGATGCTGCACTTCCACTTCGAGTTTCTTCTCACTTTGAAGAGCACCTTGCACAGATTTTACTTCTTCAACCTGTTCCTCTAAATTCTCTTGTAATACTTTAAGCGTAGTCGCGTAATCCTCTTTACTAATTAACAGATTAATTTTATTCAATCTGCCAGACATATCGATATCTGGTATAGAGGTGAACCAAGAGGTTGATAAATTCCGTTTAATAAGTAAGGTGAAACTGACTGGTTCTAATAATAATATTTCATTTTCAACTGCAAACTCGTCCACATTCAACTTCGCTCTAGAACAATGTGTAAATTAAACATCCATTTCACAACTAATTACGACAAGTATAGTCTTTTAATAATTACCTAGACAACTTCAAGTTTTGCAATTCAATTTTCATTTCATCGACAATGGGACAATCTCCCATCTCATTTGTGACTTCCAATTTTTTAAACACATTGCATACCGTAAGATTACCCATGTCCAGCGTTAAGCAATGATTACTCTTCGAATGCATAGGTACATATATAACGGGAGCCTAGATGAAAGTAATTTAAAGGTAGATAGAACAGCGCCAAGTATGAGAATATTCCGAGTCTGTTCGTTTGCTTACAGACCTTAATTTTAATTGCAAGTCCAATACGCGTTGCACTTTCTTGAACATCTTTAATGTTTGTCTTTGCAGCTTCCGCAGCTGCGGCTGAAGCATCTTTTATAGCCTGTTGAGCAGCTTGAAAGTTGTTCAAGAAACTCTAAAAGAATGAGCACGTTTCTACATAGACTTCGATCTGGCATGTTTAATGTGTTATATTTCTTAAACACTTACCATTATCCTGGTAACAAACATATTTAAGAAAACAATACGATAGCAGCCCATCACAATTGTAATGGACATATTATTTTTGTCAGTTTCCGACGGTTCAATATTATACATTATAGCCTGAACTTGCAAAGACTCGGCATCCTCTGTCACTGATAAGATCTGCGCATAATCATTAATAAAAAGAAAAAGAATTCAAGCTAGAACGAAGTGTGTAAATTATAAAGAAAACTGACAATGTATCTCTATATGTCTTACGTCTCTATAAACTGATGCAGTATTAAGATCTATAATACGAATGGAGGACAAGTTCACGTTCGTTCGGGAATAAGAAGCCTTCATCGTGAAACCGGCTGTAATACCATCAACATAAAACGCAGTAATTTCTTTAGATTCACTGATTATCTTCATACAAATAGTTCCAACTTTTGTTTGAACCTTTAAATCCGTATGCTCGATCATTGTTCTCTTTCGACCTAAATATCCAAATGTAACAAGTAAAAAATTACAATTACTAATGAAATGTACTATAGAATACATGTAAGTAAACGCTTACGCGATGAAGTCGATCTAATTTTTTGCCTATGAATTTGTTCCTTAAAGAAAGTAGACGTTTCTTCTTGAATAGAAGCCAAATGACTTACTCTTGGACGTATCGGACGATCCTCATCCACTGTACTTTTTACTATAGAATTCATTCGATTCTACAACAAAAAATCTATGTAATGCACGCACGCAATTTTAACCCATACTTTTAGATTATTCGTTGCTTTCAGAAAAGATTACCTGCATGTATGTTGCAAACTGTAAAAGGCTAATTAAAGCTTCTTGGTGAAGTAAAAGATCTAAAGTCGTAAACTCCAGCTTTAATAATTTAATAACAGATCCATGTCTCGTTGTAAAGTCTGGAGATCGTTTATTCACCTAGGATAATATTGCAATATCTGTTGTAATTATTAAAGAAAAAGGAAATATTTAATAATTATTTTTAAAATCTCTAACTTACATTAATATATTGCATTGTTATCAAGTATTCATCTTTACCAGTCGACATAGGTGTGTTTACCATAAATATTTCTGCTTCTTTGTAATGTTGTTTTACTTGGACACCACCCAATCTCAACAATATTTCTTGGTCATAAGTTCGCTGCAACATTTCTGCTTCCAATTGTAATATCTCGAATTTTACAAATGGTTTTATTACATCATCATTTTGGGATGAAACCAATAATGCAAATTCTACAATTAAGGACAATTATGTAATAATCAATTAACAAACTATTTCCACTGATCTGACAGATGTCCTTCGATACCTTTCATGACAAACTTCATTTCCAAATCAGTGGTCTGTTTAACGGACGAAGTCTCTTCCTTTTTCTTTTCAGACATGGTGGAAATTGTTGTCAGCTCTTTCAACAGCGATAGTTGAGAACTGGATTTGTTCTATGGAAAGTATTCGACAATTAGCATCGCTTAAGACACGGTGTACGGTATATAATAATAATACGGTACAGCACATACAAGTGAACATTTCTGAAGATCCGTAGGTTCTTCTTCTTTTGGTAATGGTATACTCTGAGCGATAGACAAAACTTGTAACAAGCGATTATCTGGCAAAGAAAACAAATTATTAAAATTAGAACTAAACACACGTACATATATGTATACGCATGTAAGGAGGGATATCGCGTATACCTGTTATATTAATTACGAGTGACGGCAATTGACCGATAAGTCTCAATTTCGGAAGTAAGGGGTCGTCGGTAACCAAGCATTTGTGAAACTGTATTTCAAGCGTAGTTGGATGCAATAAGGTCATAGAACCATGGACTTTCGATAAATTTGTGCGCCATTCTTCTTCCGGAAGAGAAACTAATATCTATGAACAGTACGAACAACATGCGTATAATATTTCTGATCATTCTGATTAATCATTAACGAACTGAAAATACACACTTGAACGTCGACTATTTTCAGAACAAATTTGTCATAGGTATGCTCTCTGAGATGCAACAAGACGTCTTCTTCGCTTTTACCCATACTAATTAACTGTTTCACAGACACATTCGTCTTATTGTCATTCGGCTTCTCTAACGAGTGCATTTTTAAGCTACCAAGATTGACAACTAACAATGATTTTGTGCTATTGTAGAATCCACCGTGCGGAATAATTAACTGCGACGCCTGCATGTCGACCTGTTAAATATACGGTATTTTTTAGTTTAAAATGTATCCGTTACCACTCACCTATACGTTCTGTGGATATTGCGGTACGTCGTTTTACCTGTATATCTAATACCGAATGTTTTTGAATTGCGTGTTCCAAGCCGAGAGCTGACATTTCCTTAAAACCTTCCAACTGTTCCGCGGCGGCTGCTTGAAGTCTACACAAAAAGAAGATAATAAGTTAATGTAAAAAATAATATGTGTTCTCATATATTAATAAATAGTACAAAGGATGGTGGTCTTACTGATTTAAAGTTGAAGAGTTTTGTACTTTGAATAAATTAACTAATTCTATCACTGTTTGTGCATCGTAAACAATATCCACCGATGTTGATCTTACTATGACGCGGTCACCGCATAATTTATCAAGTGGATTCTTTTCATATGATACGTATATTAAAACCTTTTCTGCGCTGTGTTCGTGAGAATTGAAAAGCGAAGGGACGCAATCACTTTGCTTCGTTCCTAAAAGCTTCATTTCGTTGATCGATGCTGTAACTCTGTAAGAAAACGAACGTTGCAAATTTGACATTTAATTACACTGCAGTTGAAAACGTAATAGTTGTAAAACTATTATACATGTGTACGTACAATATGGCATTAGCGGATGGCCTTGAATTGAAGCTAGCTTCAACGACATGAAGTTGAAGATCCAGTACACATGGGAATTCTTTATCCGTATCTAAAATTATTATTTGAAGTTCACGTAAAAGGAACCGTGTATCGATCATCACGTATGTTTCAGGGTAATGAGCTGGCGCGGTATTTTCTTGATAATCGATCGCTCTATACAATTTTTCTTTTTCCTGCGGCGTCATTGCTTGCTCAAATTTCCGCACTGAAACAAATATTTTTAGTGAGCTGAACGACAAAGTTAATTACAATGTACACGTTTCGTCAATTACTTATCGCAGCTGCTGAATTTAAATCTTGAGTTTCCTCTGCCTGTGAACCGGACCAGAGGAATCCAAACCAACCGCGTTTCGCTTTCAAGTTCTTTTCCTTTTCCGCCAATCTTTCTACCTGTACGACAAAAGTAGAATATCAAATTTTTATATAATTACAAAATACACGAATGAATTCTATCGAGGGAAACACTGACTTCCATCTCAATTTGCTGTCTAATGATCACCAAGTTGAAAATGTCCAAGTTCATTTCACATTTCGTAAGACGATCTTCTATTTCCTGTACAACCTTCTTGGTTGTTAATTTTGTCTGATATACTTCAGCATATTCACGACATAAATCCCTATGTTGCTTCATATGATTCCAGTCCCAATTTTTACGATTTCTGCGCACTGTTTCTTCTAAAATACAAGTGTATGCAAAGTGCCACCTAAAAATACCATCAAAATTTTATTGTATACAGCGTAATTGAAATAATATTATTTCCATTGTTGATAGTATATAATCATCCACTACTACCATTCTTTGTAATGTCCCCTGTACGATGTGAAGTTAGGTCTATACTTTCTATACGGTGCTGATTTTTGAGCTTGATCTAAACCTTCACCTAATTGAACAAGAGTACGATATTGTTTCTTTGTTAGTCCTATTCTTAATTTTTGCATTTCCAAATCCAACCACACCTTGGGAATAGTATAGTTACTGCCATCTGTCTCTGGCTTTGGATTTAACTTTAATTTAGCATTCACATTTATCGGACCCAATACTAAAAAATTAAAAACTGTTTGAAATTTCTGTTCCTAATTTTAAAAGGTAACTGCCTATAATTAATTTCTGTTATGTTCACTTACAGTATTGGTAACCTAATGGATTGTAATCTATGGTTGCAATACCACTGCAAAAGAGATCTGAATAATTTGATAGTGAACTGCTACTAAATTGATCTGTGGTTGTATTGAGATATACAGCCAAACCGTCCAGTGTGCATAACTAAAAAGGAAATATTTCTTATTTCGAGCACTGTAGTGCTATTATTATATAGTACAAAATAATACATTTACTTCTGCCGCTTACCTTATAAATTTGTTGAATAGCATACATATCCTTCAAATTACCATCCGTTTCCCAAGAATCTGTACAACTTTCTAATATGAATTTATTAAGCGTGAAACCAACTGAAAATGGATGATCTTTAAAAGAAACATGATCTTCGTATCGTACGTGTATCCTTTTTATTTCAACATGAATATTCTTTATCATACGAGCAATAAGTTTCTCAACCATTGAATCATCTAATTTCTCTTGTACTGCAATAACAAAAAATTATGCAAGTAGACTTAAGCGTTTAAAAGATACAACCATAAATATTTACATTTAGTGTCCGCTAACTGTTTCGTTTTCTCAACTCTTGCAAGCTCAGCCCTCTTGGCTTCAAGCTGAACTTTGATTTCTTTTTCTGCATCGTATGCAATTTGACTTGTAGGTACTATAAGTAAAAATAATTCTTCAACTATTGCATCGATTTGACCATTCCACATATCCTTGAATGGTATTTTTAAGATAAGTTTGCCTACACAGGAAACAGGTATCAACTTCATTAATTACTTTACTTCATACCCAGCAATGAGACATTTGAATGAACAAATGTACATGGATTATACAAACCTAATCTTCCATATTCTAATCTTATAGGTAAGTCCAACACATCTAATGCAGTCTCTTTTATTAATAAATCATTTAATACAACATCTCCTACAAAAGAAAATTATAAAGGTTTTATACAATAGAAAAAAATAAAATATTATTGATGAATCAGACTCATTTTATTGCATTTATAATAACAATAATAATAATAATAATAATAATAATAAAGGATATATAGACAATTATTAAAGAAATCAGTTGATCAGATCTTTACGAATAGATAGATGCATATTACAGATATATGACATAATTAAGTTCAAATTTTATTACAACATAACTGTGACAAAAAATAATAGAAATTTCTTCAAAAATATAATGAAAAGAGGCAAGTATCCAAACATGTTTTATGCATGTTCAATGCATTGTTGTGTACCATATTTCTACAAACAATAGATACTTAGGTAAGTAGCTATATAGCATTTAAAAAAATGTAATTTATTCATTTTCGTGATCTGGCCCCTGAATACAGGCAACTATAGAACTCACTAGATACATCATACGCGATAAAGAAACATGATCATAATATAAATAGAAGCTGATGTCACTGATCAGTGTACTAATAATAAGATACATCTGTATATAAATTTTCAAAATACCACGTTAGGTAAACATTCATTGTCCCACTGAACATACAACAAACACAAGGTATTCTTTGCTGTCGAATTTAAATGTACATGAATGAATTACCTTGAAAAAGATAAAAAGATGTTTAGGAGATACATGCAATTACTCTTACCTCCCCATAAACTAAGTTTTAATTGCGTGCAGTCCAAATTCTGTATATACTCTCCCAACACTTTGTTCAAAAGTTCAGCAACGATCGATTCGAAAACCATTGCTGATTTTTATTCCAACAATGTGCTCTTAAGATAGGAATATTTATAAACACGATAGTAACAAATAAAATGGATTTAACATTTGTAGTCGTTAAGTCGATAGTTAACAAGCGGTTGACGCAGAAAAATGAAATCGATCGATACGAAAAAGTACCGCATAACCTAGATACGAATTATATATGCTCTATGGGATTACAGCTATGAATATATAGCGCATGAAACGTAATCCTTGATTATTGTTGTTCATGAACATGGAATGTTCTTAATTATTCCCATTGTTTCATGCTATCGATTCAACTTTTTCCTTAACACTGGAACCCGCTACTCTTGCGTTTTCGCCGAACTTTTTCGAAAATTATTGATTATATCGGATTATTAACTAATAATGTTTGTTTCGCGCGTGATTCGAATGACATCGTATGAAAATGTATGACTGTCAAGCTTCTTCCCATGTACTATCTAGATTTCACCATGCACTAATTCCACCTCCGCATTCTGTTCGTTCGCGGACACTTTATAGTATACTATACTTGCTGGTATAGTTTCTGTCGGTAGTAGAAAACACATGCTGTTCAGAACACAACTGATATGACAAACGAGCAGTCACACCCATTCGTTTGTTACATAATCATAGGTGTGTAAAAGATCAGCTGGTGTAATAAAATATAAAAAACAATGAGTATATTGAGACAGTATTTATTTTAAAATAACGCCAAAATTATTATATTTGTTAAGTTTTGTTTGGACAAGGATATATTTAACGCCAAAACCAATCTAAATTTGTAACATTAAACATTGTTCCATTGTATTTTGCAATTAAATATGAATTTAGTCTTCTAACATATACTTTTCTAAGTCCTATATCTTGTAATCTTCTATAATTATCTGTTAATGAACCTTCTTTGTTGAAAAGTAATCTAAATTTATTTAACTGAAAATATATTATATTTGTCATGAAATGTGCAAAACTTTACCAAATAATTAATTTATACAATGTTGCAGCATATGAAGTATGAAATATTAAAAGAAGCTACCTGAGTAAAAGATATTGGGACTGGAGTTGAAAATATTATCCATGTTACTACCTCGTTGCACGGAGGTGTAGTTAACGAACCTTTGTAAACATAAAATACATCTGTATTGTGGGGTAATAAAGAAGCTAATGTTATCGAGGTATTTAACTTTGTTTCCGTATTCAACCATTGTACTCCTGCCAATCCATTCAATATGGGATACAATAATCTGTTGTCTTTCTCCTGCAACTAATCAGAACTTTTATTATATTACTTAACACAAGCCTGTTTATGTTTTATGGAAGTATTATTAGTTATCTATTTACTTGGAAAAAGATACCCAAAACTACAAGACCATCTTCATAATTTAGCGCATCAGATAGATTCGAATATGCTTTATTTCTATGAACCATATGCATCTCCATTGGATATCTGAGAAAGAAATACAATATAGTCGGTACATTAAGAACTGTAGTTTTCGTGCATTTGTTTTTTATATCGTACCTAACGTCGTTCAACACATGTTCAGATCCCCTGTTATTTTTTGCACCCCAATGGAAATGTAAATGATCTATCTCATACTCTTCATTTATAGGGAGCGCAGCGCCGAATATGTAGGGTAAACGTTCATCTTTTACATTGTTATTTGTACTCATTGTAACTGAAAGAATAAATTTAAAATGAAACATATAATTGTGCGAGACACACTGAAAATTTAAAAATTTAATCTAATTACCTGAATGACCATTGTTCTTTAGCCGCAATGTACCTGGAAGATAATCATGATAACCGATCACCTCCAGGGCTGGTAAAGGAACAGCGATTGATTTAGATGATGATATTGATACAGGAGACTGTAACTTTCCACTGCACATCTTGAATTTTTGAATCCACATATATTGATCTATGATATACAGACATGTATACAGATTCTTTACAAAATGTGAATATTTAAACAAAGATTCTTTTTGTGCCATGTTACATACCCTTTCTACTGTACCCAAAATGCCCTCTAACAAGTGATACTAAAAGGGCAGTGTTAACATTGATATTCTTTATAATACATTGCGAATAACAAATATGTAATGAGTAATGTGTTACTGGACTTACTGGTTGTCAATAAATTGATAAGTTTGATGATGTTCATCTTAAATTAGAAAGTATTTTGGTCGAGTAACAAAGTTTAACTTTAAAGTTCATGAACAGATCCAAAAAACGTACTGAGTTACTTCCAGCATCTCCAGTTCAGACTGTTTCGTGTACTTGTTACATTTTCTATTATCAACGTCGACGCTGTTTGACACAGTATCTTCAATATACACATTCCGTATGTTTCTTTTCAATTAGAGCTATAGTATCACGAACTTGAAGTACTCATATACCGACTATAACACCTGTTGTACATATGTTATCTATTAAGTTCATTAAATTCATTACGCTCCACCTCGTTTTACACGTTACACACAGTTGACGTTAATAAATTATTCATTTCTCGTTAAAACAATATTTATTTTCTAATAACTCTATTCAGTTTCTCTTAGCACAGTACTATAATAAAAACGTTATGCACATGTATAACAGTCACGATAACAATTTATTTGCATATATACAAATCATTATCATTATTTCAATATATTGAGCTACTTGAATTACCAATTAATTGATATGCAACGACGATAATTAATACAAGTAAAGATTTAAACTGCATTTAACATTAAAACATGTTTAAAATTGCTTCTCATGTTTTCTTTGCTTTATTATAAATAGTATTATTATATAATTTTACAACATACATATACAGACAACCACAAACACACAAGAAGAGATTAAAAAATATATATCACAGATTGATAGCGATACACAACTATGGTACATTATATGATTTTTTTACAAACAGTGTTATTTCTAGTTCATTGTGCACATGCGTGTCATGTTATAAAAATTGTATACAATTTAACTATTTGACACAATACAGCGTCAGTATCAGATATTTTCTTATATCGTCATAAAACGTACAGGTTTAGATTGAAAAAACTCTGCACAGTTCTCTTTTTCTTTAATATAAAAATACACGAGTTTATGTTAATATTCTTTGTATTAAATAATTCAAGGCACCATAAAGATGAAAAAAAAACTTCTAATGTTGGTTACAGCATTTAATTTTCTAACTATTGAAACAGAAAACTTTTTTTTTTAATGTTTAGACAGTTGAAACATGGCCTTTAATAGCACCAGTTGAAATCTCACTTGTATTAGTGCTTGAAATAAACATGTGAGAGAGATGCGAGTGAAAAATAATAATAAGATAATTAATATTGTAAGATTACATTGCCTGCTGTCTTTCGTGATATTTCTAAGTAAGCATGAAAAAATATATTGATTAACGAACTGTATTCGTTTACGAATAGCTTGGTATACTTCATTCGACTAGAATCATAGATATTGCAAATCATTTCACACATTTGTCGTATCTTGTCCTTTGCAAACAGTCACTTGCAAAGGAATCCAGAACAATTCTTCCCACGGTGGTCGAACAGAATTAATAACAGTCTCAGCGGCACTTACAGAAACAAAATCTAGAACCCACGATTCTTCTTGTCCTGCTACCTCATCCAAAAAGTTCAAAGTTAGCGATGAAGTGCAATGTTCCTGTGAAAAAATGTAGTAATTAAAGAAAATGTGCGAAAGAATATAGTTATTAGAAAATGTCGATATGTAAGTAATTTATATTTGCTACTCACTACTCCAATTAAATTGCTCACAGATTGTTCCCTTATTACACGCGGCACTTCTTTATTACCTGGCAACAGCCATTGCATATTGCATATCACTAAAACGGATGCAGTTACGATTAAACCGGACAATTTTTGTTGCATTTCCACATCTTGAAACTTTAATAGGCCAGAAGAGAACAATGCCAGTAATTTTACAGCATCGCCATCTTGATAATTCTTGCAATGCTTTAGTAATTGATGCATTAATGTGGTGCAATGTCCTGGCACCGTAAATTCGACTTCGCAACTAGGTGGTAAAGATGTATCTACGAGCAAAAAATTTACTTTCGAACGATGTTACGGTTACGTTGTACGTAAAACTTTTCTTTCTTTTACCGGTAATGTAAAACAGAAAATTAGAAGTCCTCTGGAAATCTTGTAGAATACACAAGAATGAAATAGTAGACTCTAATTGATCATCATTCAATTTCTGAGGCTGTTTCAACTCGATCAAAACGCCCTGTTTGAATGGCAACGGCGCCAAGGATCGTAATCTGTCCATTGTCCAACTGATTTCCTTGTGCAGCCAACGTTGTGGATCCTCTCTATGGTATAAATCGAATATATATAGAAATTAAAAGTTTTTCCCCGACACTTACATATTATCTAATAGTTATTACTTTTACCCTTCTAATCCATCGATTTTAAGAATATAAACTTTTGATGTGGATAAAACTAAACAACCAGGGAACGTGTTCACCGCATTCTGCATAAGAATGTCTGCCTGAAAATGAATAAACGAACAGAGGAAACTCTATTTAACGTCCCATTAATAACTGTATCGTACAGTTCATTGAGTTTATTACCCTAAGTAAAAGAATAAGTTCTTCGTTTTCGTGTTCAAATATATTCAAAATAATATGTAACTTTATTCTATGATCTATACTGCTGAAGTCCGTGTAAGAATACTGAACACCGCTGCCCATGAAATGTGACGTCTCTTTCGTTTTCATCATTAATGGCTTATTACTGTCAATTTTTATACTTTGAAGTAAACCTACAAGATTCGATATTTCGAAAAATTACCGTGTAATTGTACACTTTTCGGTTAAAGTATCGATAGGATATTGTAATTTCACCTACCATCTAATAAAGAAGTTAAATTTGTTACAGGTGCAAATTTAGTCTCTTTGTCATTGCTATTGTTAAGAGATTTTTCGTCTGCATTAGAATGTTTAATTATTTTATTTTCATACGCTGTACAAATACTATCTGTCAATGAACCTGTAATAATAATGTATTAGTATATATTATTTCACAACAATTACTTAAACCAGTTACGATCAAAACTGCAGCAAACCTGAAGAACTACTCTCGGTCAAACCAGTTATAATTGGTGCTGCATCTGGTATTGTTAAGAGAGACGGAGCGACAGCAGTACGTCTTTCTTCCGAGGAACGTTTTCTGTGCGGGGTTAAACGAGTTCTATGATAATTATAAGAAAGGAGGTGAAATAATATTCGTTGAAAATATTAAACGAAATTCTGAAAACTTGGCTTACCTGGAGGCTTCATCCAAAACTTCAATACTACTCTGACTTGGATTACTAAGCACTTCGATATCGCTTTCATATTTTTTATTTAGTGCATTCACGGATGGTGTAGATTCTCTAGATTCTTCTAAACTCGTAGCAGAACCTGTCGATAATAATACAAAGTACTGAAGAACATGCTAATCTGCCGGTTCATATTTATTGCGTGTGAATGTTTAATATAAGTTTAATTTGATGTTCAGTAAAGTAGTTCACTACTCTGTAATAGTGATGCTGTGTAGAATAATTAGTGAAGTTGTAATTCGTTGTATTCCAAGATTAAATGTATGACACGATAAGAATACGGGCTTGAACTAACTAAATAATCAAGATAATCTAAATAGTCAAGCAACTAGTATAACAACATATGTCGATTTTAAGAAGTAGACATAAGGAAAGCTTGAGAAAACAGGGAGTGCTGTAATATATTATTGTGGCTGAAGCTTACAGCAGACTTGAGCTTGAGTGTGAGATTCGGGGTGCACCAGAGAAGTGGTGACGGATATAGCTCCACCCTCCGTTCCACCTGCACCGGCATTAGTATGTTATAGTCCCAGTCAATAATAAAATGTATATCAGCAATATAATTAGTGCGTTCGCATTTAATGAAAGAAAAAAAATATTATTCTGATTAAAAACTAGAAGATACTAATGTCATAAAAACAGTATCATATGAATAAATGAATATATGGTTAATCTTTACAAACATTTATACTCAACTTATTACGTTGCAAAAAAAACTTGGGTTATTGTATCAGAGAAAACATGAAAAAAACATTACCTTGCTAATGTCATACGTTTATAATAAGTTATGAACTTTTTTTTATCGAAAACTTTGTTCATTCTTACATGTTTTACAATTAAAAAGTCCATGCAACACAGTTGAAGTAATATTTACCAATGCTGGAACATGAATCGCTACGCTGTAATTTATTCTTTACAGAGTTTCCCGAAAATTGATCGTTAGACGAATTCTCTGGCGAGTCTTTAGTAAGATCGTTTTCTGCGTCCAGTGTTGATAATTCATCTGTTTCTATGACCAAAGTACTTTCGCAAGTAGGACACTTCAATTGTTTTGTTCCTGGAAAAGTAGAAACACTTTATACCATTAAATTTCTTCGACATTAGCTTGTTCGAAAACTTGCCTGATATAGATGTACTTAATGAGGTAACATATTCTGTATCTTGAGAAAACTGAGTTGAACACTTCATGCACTTGAAAACTTTCAACGATATTGCTCGTTTTTTCATTCTTTCGCCAACTGTTGTTACTATTTTCTGCAAGATTTATATGTATAATATTCCATCATGTAAATTCCTACTTTGGGTTTCATCTATCTCTATATTAGCATTTCCTCGTGTTACCTTTGCATCCTCCGGTTCTACAAAATATCTTCTGTTCTGACGATTCTCCCTACTCGTATCAAAAATTATATCTACCGTGACTGGTTCACTTCTACCCAATACACACGACAGCACAGAACTTGTTGACCAACTATTCTTTAGTTTTCCAGATACCGAATCTCTTTCTTTAATGTCACTGCACCAATTATATAATTGGCATTACTTAAAAAGTACAAAATAAAATTTTTTCTTATACTAATGGCGTTTACACACTTACTCTGTTGTTATTATTAAGAATAATTCCTCTAATTCATGATCGTTTTTCTTCTTTTGAACCAAGTATAAATCTCCTGTTTCTAAACACGAATACGAGACAATTAAAGCATAATTATTTTATTTATACATATACTGTACTATTTATTACCTACCTTCTTCCGGATCGTACGGAGATTCTGATTGCAAAAAATTATCTGCAATTTCATTTGACGATAATTCGGATACATTTTCCTCGTTTGATATCTCATTGTGAACTTCCTTGGCATCGTTACTCTCATTATTTTCGTTTATCGAACGTACAGTATCTTCTATCACATCGGTTTCTGTATTTTTAATTAAATGAAACATCGAGTCTTGATTATTTAATATAATATTTGTTCCCTCTAGACTTTTGACTGCAGAGTCCGGTATCAATGAAGAACATGAAAAAGACTGTGCACCCATATCTTGAACAAAAGTGCCGGCGTAACTACTTAACCAGTTTTCTTCGTTAAACTTTTTTCTTAATTCCAGGATTTGTTTTTTTGTCTCCAGATGAAGCTTCGAAGTTTCTACACAAAGTGGCGATTATATTATATTAATTTGTATGTAACAACTGTTTTAAATTAAAAATATTTACCTAAATAAGAAGTACAGACATCGGATTCCACTTTCTTTTTTCCTTGTTCGTCTTCCGCAATGACAGCCTCTTTCACACTGGACTTTTTCACGCTTTTAGAAAAACTTTTTTCTAGATTAGCTTCGGTAGATATTCCTGCTCCGTCTACACTGAACGTCGATGTATTCGTAGACGCAGACAAACTACTGGAATTCATCGAACTATGTACCGAGATAAGCAGTTCGTTTGGTGCAGATTGCTCGGATTTAATTTTAAAAGAACGGTTGTCTGTAATAATTTGCTTCTCTGATTTGGACAATGGTAAGCAGTCTAAAACAAACTAAATAATAAAATTTGATTCACACTTATACCATGTTTGATAGCAATCAAATGATATGACTCCATTATGTTACGTTCATTCCTAATGTACACTTTACCTTGCTGTCGCTTAAATACGAATGCAAATACTTTATACATAGTAATCGATGCTTCGGATGATAAGATAAAGGGTTACCCTCTAACGAAATCCGCAACAATGTGGACATTTTCTCCAAAACCCACAACGTTGAATGATCCATTAAACAGTTGAAGGATAAATCTAATTCTGTTAAACATTCTAAGTTCTGTAGACCTGCCACAGAAAAACATTGCACTGATGGTAGTTTTTATATAGGCATGTATAAAATGTAAAAACATTAGAGATAATCATTTACCATTCAACTTCTCTATGTAATTGTTTTTCAAGACTAACACTTGTAAAGAATGAGATGCAGCCTTGTTGAAAGTAGGTATTGCTTCCAGTTTATTGTATCCAAGATTGACGTATTTCAGATTAGGTAAACAAGACAATTCATCCGCGGATGTTATCAAATTATGACTCAAGTCTATTATCTGTAGCCAAGGTGCTAACTCCATAGATGTATCCAATTGTTTCAGAGCATTATAAGGCAATGCTAAATGTTTTAATGAACTCCAGACGAATCCGATGCCATCATCGCCTCCACAACTAACTGTAATTGCATGCATACAAGTTAATTTATAGTTTTCATTATTAATAAAATATTTATAGTAAATTGTTATTATATAATAATACATCACCTAATAGTTGACGCACAGAACAAACTCCTTCTCTTCCAGCACAAATAATGCTTTCAAGTTGACCCCTAATTCTCTGTAGCCCTTTCACGGACTTAATATTAATTTTCTTTAACTCCAGATATTTTAAATGCCTAAACTTTGCAATATCAACAGGAACCGTAGGATTATTTGCACAATGAGTCACTTTCAAGCCAACTGTTTTCTGTACAAAGTCATGTAAAAATTTCAGGACCCTAAATATATCAACCTTAGAACTGTTGCACACTTGAAACGAAGATTCTAAATTTTCTGATTCGTTTACGATCAAAGAAAAACATTCATTTAAGTCATGGAGTAATGAGCTTGATAAAGAGAGTTTACTGGATGCACTTAACACTTTGTCTCCAGTTTGATGTAATAATTTTCCAAGTTGCACTATTTCTTGCACATTCATCTTTTTATAATGTATATTGATCAACTCCAACTGCACTTAAAATTGGAAGAGCCTTTATTTCATACTATCCTAAAAGAAAACGAATATATTCTTATTTTATGTACATAGAATAAAATTGGCAAAATTCTATGTAACTTTAATATTTAATGTCCAATGTAAAATACATGATTATCAATAGCGAATGCAACATACTTTAACAATTTCTTGCATCAGTTATAAATAATGTTTTTGAATAGAAAGAAAGAAAGAAAGAAAGAAAGAAAGTAGTAAACTTATGAGATTAGTACACATTGTCGATCCACATTACCATTGACAAACAGACAATTATGTCATATAAGATACAAGCGATACAGCTCCATACATGCTAGTGGGAATAGACAAAACATAAAATACATATTCCCAAAAGAATCAATGCCTATTAATCTCGTAAAATATCATCCATCGTTATGCAATTCGATAACCTGAATTCGTTGTTTCCTCACTCCACGTTGGAGAACTTCTAAAACATATGCGTCATTCGTGAATCACTCGATCGTCTAGTTTGAAACCGTAAGAATCTGTGCTTTCATATCTCTCTACTGATGCGTAGAATAAACTACTGAATAGATGTCAGAAACTATTTCGATTTAGCAAGAAAAAGACACGAAAACGTACTTATCTGGTTCGATTCGAATACTGTAAGATCGTCAACTTGAATAGCTTTTTTTAATCTTTGTGCCAAGAAAAATGTAACAAACGAGTCGTACCTGTTATAGAATTTTCAAAGGATCACAATTTCGAAATCTCTGAAAGGGCTGAACAATGGTATAAATGACATATTGTCTCTGCAGTTTACATCATCACGTTAAAGCGTAAATATTGTTGCTTAAGCTGCTATATTCTAGATCACGCTAGATGGAGACACTTCCTTGATACACTAGAAACATTAGATGGCGTTATTATTCGTAATTTGTGCCGCGACGTATTTATCGTAAGATGAATGAAACTTGATCGTTGTCATTCCTACCATGAAATTCGCTTTTTCAATAAAGAGCAGAATTTGTTGAATAATTTCAAATATAATTCCGAAAAATTAAATTATTTTAGCTAACAAGAAAATCGATGGCCTTTCAAACACGTTAAATCTTTGAAAGTAAAGAAAGTCAAGTATCAAGTTATAAATCAGAAAACTATTTAACCTATTCGAATATGAAGCGAGAAATTATAATTTGTAGCATATGTTTATTGATTTACGTGGGGGCTACTAATGAGGTAAAAAAGAAATCATGGAAAGACAAAGATATACGAGATATGACGGATGCAGATTTGGAGCATTTGTTAGACCAGTGGGAAGTATGTTTTCCTTCCTTGAACTCTATTATCAATTATACATGTAATTCGAAGAAAACAGAAAAAGAAAATGAGTAAAAATGTACAGAGTCAAGTAAGTTTGTTATTATAATATTCTTATATTTCAGGAAAATGAGGAACCCTTAGAACCAGATGAATTACCAGAGCATCTTAGACCAAGTCCAAAGATTGATATATCTAAGGTACACTTTGATAAAATAGTAATCACTATTCATAATAATATTAATTGAGTTCTATTTTATGTTACACAGCTCGATATGTCAAATCCTGACAATGTTCTTAAAATGACTAAAAGGGGTAAAGGTGTTATGATGTTTGTCGATACTAATGAGGATATTTCAGCTGAAGATGCCGATGTAATAATGAAGATTTGGCAGACTAGTTTACAGAATAATCATATTATTGCTGAAAGGTAAATTTGCTTCTGTACAGCTTTTTTAAATGATAATTAAATTTAAAAATTCATATTAAATCGGTGAATTTATAGGTATCCAATAGATTTAAAGAGATCCGTGTTCCTATTTCGCGAAGGATCTCAAGCGGTAGACGCAAAAAATTTTTTGCTGCAACAACCAGAACTGTCTCATGTTACCCTTGAAGGGCAAACCTATTACAGAGATCAACAGAGACAGGTAAATGTGTATAGCATGGTTTATACATTTCACAGATACGATTAAGTTCAATAAAAGAGAATAAATTTATTGTTGTTTGTAGAGTACAGCTGCAAAAGAAATAAATAAAAATGTTCAGAATCAAGAAAATGGGAAGAAAAAGAAGAAGAATGAGGAACTGTAATTTTTTCTGGCATTTATTTTTCAAAGACATTAAATAGTACATTTGTATATTTTTATAAATAGTATGTATTTATATATAAGGATCTACATGTATAAAATAAACTTTTCTATGTTTTCGCGCTATGTTAAAATAGATTTACAATTTAAATTATTGTAATTTATATATTTTGTGAACTTTACTCAATACATCATAGATGTAAGAATATCAGAAGAATCATGAAGTCCACTCTTACAAAAGCAAAATTTCATTTTAATCGTCTTGCGATATTTAATTATATTAATTTACGCTATTGAGATATACGAACAACAAATGAAACAATCAACGGTGCTATCTTTATTGAACAACAATGTAACATTGCTTCATTATAAAACAGAAATTTCTTCTTCATTGTAACTAACAGATATATTTTAAAAGATATGTGCCAAGGGATCCGTTTTGCCGATACGCGATGCAAAACTTTATTATTCTTTTGTTAAGTTAAATTCATTGGTATTTATTGGAAGTTCTAATTAGGTGGATTATTCATAGCATTTACTTCTCTTTGTAGTTCTTTTACTACAGTTGCAAGTGCATACGGATTCACACCATTTTCGCATAATCTAATGCATATACCTAACGTAGTTGGATCCAAGCTTGTGTTTAATAATTCTGAGATTTGATACAATGTCTGGAATGTTTTTCGAGCCGCATTTATCTGATGGTGCACAGGCTCCGATATGTTGGCTCGATTTCGATCTTTTCTGCGAATAAAAGATAAGAGAAAGAATGACAATAAAATCTCTTTGATGAATCATATTATTATGAGGACTGTTGCACATGTGTAAAACGAACGAGCACATTAGTGACATTTTATAGGATGATAAAACGCTGTATAAATTACTTTACGCAGAATCGCTTGGTGTTACAGCTTTCAGATCGTCGTAACTTAGTCCTGACAACGGTATGATTCATTCGATGTTTTCATTGACAAAATACGTAAGGAAAGGTTAAAATTGAAATGGAATTATTTCATAGAATACGTACTCCCCAGTATGAGACATCTTTCCGTTATCATTAGAAAACGACTAACGATGCGAAGGGAAAGGAAAGAATTTCGCAGATGACAGAGCAATATCACTTATTCATTCGTTCTCACCGAGAAATCGCGCGGTTTTTCAATTCAACGTAATGTTTCGCACCACGAAATGTCAAGGTCATATTTTAGAAGACTGTACCATAGCTCGAAATGAACTTTTAGGCTAAAAATACAGATTTGCAAAATTTATAGAATTATATATCTCTGGCAGTAAGTTTCAACGATTCGGTGAATCGCTCTGAATCAATACAACTCATTAATGATCGTCGATCGTTTCGTTTTTAATTGACATTCAATGTTCGTAAAAGTAAACGTATCTAGCGATACTTGTGACGCCGCTTGCGGTAAAATATTGAAACTATTAGCGAATCGGCATCGATCGATACGTTATTCGAATGTCGTTTCATTCGTCAAAGTTTGGTGAAATTATTCGAATCGTTGCTTAATAAATTCGAGAAAGCAAAGAACTTTTTCCGAAAAATTTCATTGCCAAGCGAAACGGTTACTATCGTGACGTATTCTTGTCGATACGATAGAAAACTTCTCACCGACTGTGATATGTTGCGCATGTTGGTAGTTGTCACGATTGCCTGCGGACTATTGCTTAGTCGATAAGTTGGTTCGCGTTTAGCGAAATTCGAAAGTTGACGCATATAGTTTGTGACACGAATTGTACGCGTAATACGTACCTACGTGATACATATATAGATCACCTAGTAGTAGGTGTATATATTTCGGCTATCCGTAGGCGATTCGTGGCAGATCTTGAAGCGGGGATCAAGAAATCGCATGGATGGATAACAGTAACGATATTCCTCTTTTATTCGCCTGAATGTACAATTCAGCTGCCGCGAGATACAAGTTGTGAACGCGTGGCGAGCATCCGGCCTAAAGGTACGATTTTACGAATACGCGTTCTCGTCGGGTGTCGACTCTCATTGATCCATCGATCCAACGAGCAAGGGTCGCGACAGAGTGGAAACTAACAACCGAAGAAACGAAGAAACGGGCGAATAGAATAGGTTTAACGCGTTAGACGAAGCCGGTCCAAAGAAAAGCCAATGTCGCGTGTCCATCGGAGAGCCACTATCGAGAGTAACGGAGGAAATATATTTATTCGATAGAATCGTGTGATCGACCGCGTGAAACGCGACTCTGTAACAAAGACGATCAGCGGTACGCCAAGAGTAAGAAGAATAAAAGCCTGCGAGTCGACGCGTACCGTTCAATCGATCGGAGAGTCCGATTCTTCGTTTGGTTTCGGTTCGATCCGGAAACGGAGCGCTGGTCGCCACAAACGGCGCGCATTTCATAAAATTCAAGTAGGTATCAAAGGAACGTTAGCTCGCGTCGATACGAATCGGTTCTCGTATCGCTTTCGAGTCTGTCGACTGCTCGGAGAGTCGGATGGAACTGTCGGTATGCTAACGAGAGATAGGCTTCGCTAAATATCCTAAGCGACATGTAAACCGTTTGGTCGCTCGACCAGACTCGGGTCGACGGATTCGGTACTTTAGGAGCGATGCTCGATTACACGGACGTGGCTGGCAATGAGTTTCAAGGCTGGTGCGTGGAACATTCCATTTCGACGGCTCGAGACGTTTGGCAGTACGGGAATCGATTGACGTACTCTGCGCACCATCCGTACGCATCCTGTCTAGACGCGATGGATCGCCGAAGCATTCGAATGGCGACACCGTTTAACGCGAACAAATCTGAAGGAACCTGAGGAGAAACACACGGGAAATAGACGAGAAGATCCGAAGAATCGCACTGGTTCGGTTTCGATTGAAGGAGGCCTGTGGAATGTCTTGCGCAGCTGATGCGACAGATTGCTACCCCGCTCGAATACCTCGACGACACATTGTACATACACACGACGATTAGTCTCTAATTATCAACGTCTCTTCGTTCGCGATAGAAAAGTGCTTCTCGAGGTGATTTTCGAATGACTGGTGCCGCGGTAGCTAACCGTAACAAACTTTTGATTCGTTCTCTCGTGCCCTTCCTTCTTCGTCCGATGATCGTTGCAGCGCCAGGAGGCATATACCCGTGTATCGTTCATCTTATTTCTCAGATGCGCGCCGACCTCTTCGTCCTCCGCCGGAACATCGGCGTTTCGATTCGCGGAGTCGACTTTGCGATCGAATTCGGCTGATCGCGATCCACGCGAATTCCTAACGTTCGATCAATTGACTAGGTTCCTCTTCGGCTTACGGCTACGTACGGTCTCGTTTCAGCTAGTGTTACGCTTCGCCCGGAAGATCGTCGATTCGTATTCGACTCGTAGAGGCGCGGACAAACGGGGACAAACGGGGACACACGGGGACGCGCGAACGGACATGCAGAGGGATACGCTGGGACCTTAAGGTTTAACACTAAAATTTCGAGATCTCGAGTTGCACGGCTGCTCCATGTTCGAACGACCAACAAGCACGCGCGATATGTATCTAAATTACCGACTACTGGACTGCGGATTTCTGCGCGTCTACCGACTAAATTCAACGAACGAAATGCTACGAAATAAATCGCTCGTTCCGCGCGCATTCCACGATCCGTGCAAGGTCCCAACGAAGGATCGAACGTTTCGATTCGTTCACGGATTTCGTGTGCGCGTATAAAGAAAAATTGAAAACCGTGAATCCATGCGAACATCCACAGTCCGCTGATTACCGAGAAATAAGCTGCGCGCGTTTAACGATTCGCCTACGAAAATGTAAAATCTAACTCTAACTCTAACTAAAATCTCTCTCTCGCTCTCTCTCTCTCTCTCTCACTCGAGTCGTTTTGGTCGTACGATGCTACTTTCGAACGACAGGACGACGACGCACATACAAATCGCACGACCGCGAAACACATTTTCGAACGGTTCGCAAAAGAAGCAGATTTCTCGCCGAACCATCGGATTTTTGGACGCGCCGTGTTTCGTTTTCTCTGCCAGAGACTTCTCCTCGTCTGTGCTTCTGCTCCGCTCAGAGGTTTCTATGACGCCGTTTCTCGTCGCGATCGGTACGGAAGATGGATGATTTTGACAGGGTTAACGAACAGTCTGTCGGACACTTCCATGTGTCCTTTCGTCGCTCGGATAGAAAAAGTTTTAATATAATGTTCGTTGTTTTGCCTTCTAGGGTCCTCTTGTTTCTTTTTTTCCATAAAAAACATATAAAAATGGTGTAACGTTCGATCGAATACGCAATGTCGGGTCTCCGGATGGTCGACGTAACACGGTTCAACTCGGGAGAACTGAATCTTTTCCTTCTCTTCTCCTCCTCTTCTTCTTCTTTTCTCTCGGTTCCGATCGACGACCGATCGCCGTCTTCTCGCGTTGGCAGTTTCTCGCTGGACTGCGGATATTTCTTCGCGTGAACAGATCCGTTCGCTGGAAAGAGACTTCATTGCGCATTTATCGAATGTTCGATCTTAAAGCCGACCGAATATTTCATCGCATTAACTCTAACAGCAAGCTGGAAATTTGACGAAACGTTGACGAACACTCCCTCTTCCGGCATAGATTCGCGAATATCCGCGATATCCGCAATATCCGCAGTCTACTCGTCGTATACTATTCGCATTTCCGCATTTTATTTCATTCGCGCTTTAGGAACAACGGATAACTCTTTGTTTTCTCTTCGATCGAAACACTCGCACGAGTCTCTAATCGGAAAGTAGTAGGGACGCTGCGGGCTGTCTTGTACCGTCAGAAATGCACATTGGTTTCAAGTTGTACGGATAAGAACGCAACGCTCGAACGAATGAAACGGAAACAGGTGAAAAACGATTGGTCAGTTCTCCCGATTTACGGATTCATTCTTTTACGGCCAGCGATGGGAATGATATTCGTCCGACGTTATCGAATGTCGAGGAAAAGATCGATGTTCGCACATTCGAATAGATTTCAACACTCGAACATTCGAACACCCTGTATAGTGGCGATTTAATAGTAGACTTTTCGATAGAGTATCGAGTTTAGTTATTAGAGTACTTGAAGCATCTTATTCGAGGAATACTTGGCCGTATCGCCTAGGATTACTTATCTAGATACGATGGAAAAGATCAACGCGTTTCCGTATAAATTCTCAACGATGATATTTATCGATTAGAAAATTGAATGATTAATTGACAGAGTCGATTATCCGTCCCATCGGCAGCTAAGAACGCGTTTCATCAGGCGAGAGAGACGGAGTGCTCTCGGTGTTCCACTCGTTGGACGAAAGTATCGGCAACGCGCGCAAGCGATCGTAGGAAAATGTTCGAATAAGCGTTTCAATCTTCGGAGAGATCGTTCGACGTTCCTTTCGCAGAGGTCAGCGGGACGATTAGACGAGGGTTATTCGATTCTACGGACAGAGAGGAAAACCATACGGAAATCGAACCGATCAAACTCTCGACAGTCGTCCGAGTTCCCTCTTGCGCTCTGACGCGAAGAAACGATGCGAGGAAACGATGCGGCAGAAGCTAGTTAAGAATAGCGATCTGACGATAAACTACGAGCCCGTCGAGTACGGAGATTCGTTTCGCGATTGCGTTTCGTACGATTTGCATTCTAAAGGGATTCTCCTACGAAAGGGATTCTCGAAACGGTTCGGCTAAATCACGCGCTAAAGTGAGATCCGCGTTGAATCCCGCGGGACGAGTCAACGATCTATATACTATCTAATACTCGCTAACGGTTGCCATAGGGACTCGTTGCCTGGCAATCCACTAAACAAATTCATCGGTTAACAAGTGACAGTGCTACGGTATCGGACGATACCGGTCGGCGAGTTCGCGTTATCGCAAGCCCACCGAATCACCTTCGCTCGTTTCTCCCCGATTCGAAGGGTCCGAGAATCGAGGCGGATCCAGGCGATTCGGTTCGAGCGCGAACAACCGGTTTATCGTTATTACTTCAACGAAAACAAACGACGAAACAAGTCGGTTTCGCGATCACCGCTTCACAGTTCTACACGTACGCTTCGACTGTTCGCGTGTCTGAAATTGACGTGCTACGTTCGAGCGCGATCGTTGCCGTTCTCAGGCTAGCGATCGTTGTCGGCAAGTCGGACAACTCGGCGCGAACGGCATCGATCGCTCGGTCGTCGTCTAGAGTCTATCTAACGCTAATAAACTATTCAAGTTCAACGAAAACTATCCCGGCGCGATTGCGCGGCGAGCGATCGTTACGTTAATTATTGCGATTTGGTGTTCCGATTGCCGGCTGAGCGATTACAGGATTCTATAGGTCGCAAATTCTAATGTTACGTACACGTAAGTACCAAAGCGCTAAGACAGCCGGTGTCCGCGGCTGTCGAAACGCTCGCGTCTACGAGTTCTCTCTTTATTTAACAATCGACGCTTAGAAAATTGATTTACGCTTCGCTTCGCTTCGCTTACGTCTACGCGCGTACTCTTTAGAAACGCTTTCGAAAACGGGCCGGGCTCCGTATGTACAAGGCCTTTCATCGATGACGGAATACTGTAGTCGTTTACCAGCATTTCTCGCATCGATCGACGAAGACAGCTCTCCTCGTAAATAGAATTCGCGGGACGATTGTCGTGGAAAGAAAAGCGAATCGCTTCGGATCCCCGTCGAATGTTCGCTTCGAGTCGGTCATTCCCGCTCGTCGAGGATCGCTTTGATATCTTTATTCGCATTGGTAACGGGTCTCCGATTCGTGATATAATCGGCGAGACGGTTTTCTTTTTCTTAACATTGGCGGCCGAGTCTCGGGAAACCGTCGACTCGATTCGATTCGATTTCTATCGACACGCGAGAAGAATGGGCGGACGAAATATGCTAGGCAAAGATAGTTTCTTTACGGACAAAACCTTCCGTTATATCACGAATATTAGACTATCGATGCTCCCAAGAGAAATGAAGTATCTTTCACTGGGTTTTGGCACGCGGTTCGCTTCGCGTTAGAACAGAGGTTCTCCCTTATTCGTACAATTCTCGAGTACGCCTGGTTCTCTTCCGGTGCCGGGCGACGGTGCGAATATTCTTCTTCTCTCGAGAGTATCCCGACCGGTCGTCGAGAAACCAGTCTTCTGTCGGTAGCACTTGGTTGCTTCACCGGTGTCTCCGATCGGTCGACTTTTCGGAGAGAGAGCTGCCAGCGGCACCGCCGTTTAGTTCGCGCGGACTTCGGCGAATCGATAAACCGCGTGTCGGCGCGCGTACGATTCAACTCTCGAGCCAACGACGAGCAACATTTTTACCAAATTCGATCTCCCCGCAATCCAGGCGGCGTCGCGCCTCCCGTCTCGGGAGACTCAAGTCTGTCCTCGTTGCGAATCATCTCGATCGCGTCGCGGCCTGAAAACGAGGAGGAACATTTCTTTTCTTCGAATCCACATTTTAGACGAGAAACGCGGGAACGTCGCCTCCGGGAAGAAGGGAAGAAAGGGAGAAGGACAGCAGTAGAGAACTAGCCTCAGCAAAAGAGCGGTGCCTCCGGTTGATTCCACCAGTGAGCCGCGAGTAGCATGTACAGTTCCTGATCCTGAACGGTGTACCCCGGAGGCGGCTGCGAAGGCAAAGGCGGTGGGATCGGTGGCAGCAGAGAGTAGGACGGTGGCGGTGGCGAAGGCGACTGGGACTGCGAGAAGGTGGTCGTGGCGGAGAGCGGCGTGGGCGGCGTCGGTGGTGTCGGTGGCGTCGCTGGCGTTGGCGGCGTCGGCGGCGTCAGCGTGCTCACTGCCAAGGGAGGCTCTTCGTTCGCCGGAGATCAGAGCGCGCAATCGAACATAGCCAACGACCGTGTGATCACGTCGTCCTGCAACCGACCAAAATATTCTACTTTCTATTGGCGAACCTCGTTAGAACACCGAGGCGCGTTGCATCGACGAAATAAGACAAGGCGGTCGTACCTTCAAGCAGCTCTCGATGAATTCCTCGATCGTTATCACTCCGTCCTGGTTCAGGTCTAACTTCTTGAAGACCCTGTCCAGCTGTTCCCTCGCCTTCCTCTCCTCGTCCGCGTGATGCCGTCTGCCCATCAGCTCGTGCACCGCGGTCACCACTTCTCCTAGCTCGCCCCTGGTGATGCAACCGTCACCGTTTATGTCGTACAGCTTGAACGTCCATCGCAACTTCTCATAGATGCTGCCCCGCAACAACGTGGACAGAGTGACGAGGAGATCCTGCGGAGGAAACCATTTGAATCGTGCAAGATCGATCGAACCGACCACGACGAGGACCGGTAACAGTCAATCGGCTGGATTATCGATAATTCTTCGACGAAACGTTTCGAAGGGAAGCTATCGTTTGAATTTCTTTCGAGTTCGTTCTCGTAGAGGCAAAGATAAAGGTGAACCTATACGCTATAGAAACACCTATAGAGACACGCTTTGTCCGCGAAAGGCTGTATCGTTTAGAGCGAATTACCCTGAAGCTGATGGCGCCGTTGCAGTTTACATCGAACGCCTTGAACACGTAATGGGCGTAGAGGCTGGAGTCTGGAATATTCGTACGGGGTGGCCGTTAACTAATTACGCAAAAACGCTCGTCTTTATTTAATTGGAACTCACTGCCATGGGGGAAGAACTTGGCGTAGATGTCCTTGAACGAGTCCTCGTGCACCACACCTTCCGGACACTCCTGAAACGGATTAATCCGCTGTATTATATCGTATTGTAGCGTCGTTCGGTTAACTCTCTGAAGATAGAAATTTGTCGCGTGAACGGCGTCGCTCGAGACGAACAAGATTCCGAGGGGAATCGAACGTACGATGTAAATGACAAATTCTGATTTCGCTGTTCGCGAAGGTCTGCAAGGGGGGCTGTGCACGGCTGCCCGGGAAAATGAAGGTCCCCCACAGCGTACCGAAAAACGTGTTCCAAGTTTACAGGTGAGATTTTCACGTATCCGTTTCCTCGTAAAGGTTCGTGCTCGCGAATAACTCACGATGATCGTGACGCAACGATAACGACGATGATAAATGCGAGAAACGATTCGACCAGGTGTTCCTACGAGACGACACGGCTGTCGAGCGAGAGAGACAGGACGCTTCGATCGGAGGACGTTCTCTGGGACGAGAACAGGGTTCCGAGTTTAAGAAGCCTCGCCCTCCTCGCGATAGCTGCCGCGTGGAAGGATAATCCGATACTGGAACAACTACCGACTAGCGAGGACAGGAACGAACTGATCGAAATCCTGCCCACGGATCTGCCGTTCGAACTGACCATCGCGACGATCGAGGATGAACGTTACTGGGAACGCTGCTCGAGAGACAAGTAACGAATAACGCGAATCACTGTGTATTACATGTTACAGTACAGTAGAGATTACCGCGCGATCATCGTAGGTGGGAGACGAACGAGCTGTCCGATCACGGAAATTCATGGCGGCAACGGTACTGCGAGGGTGTGTTCCGCGAGTATCTCGAGAGCCTCGAGCCAAGTTTCTTCGAAACGCAGAGGGAGGAGTGCGAGAGAAAGATTCGGCTCGTAAGGAGCTACGTGCACGCGATAAGGATTCGTTCCCTTCGACCGACCAGGCGAGTAATCCGCGAAAAAGCCCCGACATCCAATTTCCATGGTTTATCCGTTTTAACCAGACGAACGGTGAACCGACCGCGTTGGTTTTCTCGAAGGAGACCGTTTCGCCTCTCGCGCGGTTCCGGGTAGAAATATTCTACAACTATTCGATGACGAATATTCCAGGAAAGCGAAGCCTCCGGACGAGGGAGATCCCTGTGACGCGGAAGAAGACGTCGTCCACCACATCCCCATGGGCCTGATTCTACCCCAACTCCATCGTCTGACCGAAATCTACATCAACTTCGGTGTTATTTACATGGACGATGGTTTCGAGTGGCGAGACTTTCGGTAAGTCTATTTTCGAACCGCGCGTTGAAGGTATTCGCTTCAAAGAGGACCAACGACCTACGCTATCGAGCGCTATTACGGATTCATTTTTGGTCCATTTCCAACAAAGCTACGCCATCCTTGACCGAGCGGAAGGTTGCCACGATATTTTTAACCGAAAACTGTCACTTTCGTAACGACAGCCAACCACGGATAATAATATGTACCTACCTAACGGTGCAAAAATAAAAAACAGATTCTCACTGGAGGATTGCCTGGGACTGGGCGAAGGAGCCAAGGCTTGCCCGAAACTGAGCAAATTCACCCTCTGCAGGAGCAATTTGGATCAACCTCGGGCTGCCGCTCTGCTGCAAGGATTGCTGGAGAATCAGAATGTCGGTGATCGTTCGATGAAATAACAATTAAGCCGCGGGTTTTATCGGTTTATAACGCGCGACTACACGCGCGGTATTCGATGGAGTAGAAAAATCGATGGAACGCGACGGAACTCTTTTACATACGCTCTTCTGTGTACACGTATACGTGCAACGATGAAATTTTCCGAAATAGATAACAGAAATCGACTTTTCGCACTGCAAACTGGGAGACAGGGGCGCATTCGTTCTCGGAGAATTCTTGTCCATGCACAATGCGCGAGTATTGCGTCTGGTGAACAACAACATTGGACCGAAAGGAGCGTCCGGGCTGGTGCACGGAACGATGAAGAGGGAACCGGTGCTGAAACATCTGGATTTGAGATTGAACCCTTTGCAGGATGACGGTATCGCGCACCTATGCGCCTGTGAGTCTACCGAGCTATTTTCACTAGCAGTTACAGCGTCGATCCGAGTTATCGCTCTCTATTCTTTCAATTGTACAACAAACGATTTCGCTTGCTGAAAAGAAAAGCGATATCTTTCCTTCGATTCCTCGGTCTAATAATAGACGGTACGTACTCGCGTTCGAACGGGAACTCGGACGGAATACGCGTTCGGATAAGTTGCAGGTTGGATCGCGCGATAATTCAGACTCGGCCAATCGGAAGCGTCTTCTCAATGGAAAAAACGGCCAATCCTAAATCCGTTTCAGACCTGCTACGAACCGACAGCCTAGAAATACTCAACGTGAGTGGCTGCGGGATTAAAGCTGCCGGAGGCACGGCACTCTCCGAAGTATTGAGCTCTGGCTGCAACTTGAAAACGCTTAGCCTCGACGTGTCGAATAACGATTTCGGTCAGGCAGGTGAGATGGAATTTTTACCCTTTTAGATCTAACGCGGTCCTCTTTTATCGAAACCCGATTCGATCGTCTTGGAAATCTTCGACCGATCGGTAACGACGCTATGAAACGTTGATTACGCCGTACTGAGAGTAACAGGCGGAGAAGGAGAAAGACGTTAGTCGGGAGATTGATCGTTCGCAGAAAGGGCTCGAACGATGCAACCTTCGACGCGGCACTCCAGATTTACCGGTAGTCGAATAATTTCTCTTTCAATCTCCGTTCACGCGAGGACGGGCCCGACGCGCGCCCGATACCATCACGGATGGGATGGGATGGAAAATGATAAACGACCGATTTCAGTGGGCGAGATATTCGAGGCCGCATTCAGGAGCATTCCGTTCATTGTTCGGTTTGACGCTCGAATGTGCAATTTCTCCGCGCGATCGGAATACTCTATTTACGAGAGCGTGCTCAGGTAAGGGGAATTTTCTGCATCGCACCGTACCCTGGGTTAGGTGAGACGATCGGTCACTTTCAGGAACAGGGAGATGCACAAACAGAAAACCAGGAAGCCGTTCAGCTGGATGACCGGCGCGTAGGCCATCCGCGCGCGAACGCCGGATCGACGAGCCTTCCGAATCGCGTCGAAACGATCACGATCACGGTATTAACGTCGAATAACAAATTCTTTAGCAACCTAAGTAATCACGTAGATAATAGTGACGATTATTTCTAATACCTTTTGTCTCTGGCAGGAAACAGCAAAATTCTTTGTAAAAGGAAGAAATGGAAAAGTAACTTCCAGACTGCAGAACGGTAAAATGCGACGACAACGGGCCACGGATAAAAGAGTTTTTCCATTAATAGTAGAAACGAAAGGAGGAAAGCGGAGAAACAGCAGCGATATCTCGTTTCTGTTCGAGAGGAAGGGAAAAGATTGTTCGGTGGAAAAAGAAGGAAAAGGACAGGATTGATCAGCGCAGGCCTTTCAGGGAACAGGATGGGCGTACGCTCTCCGCGAGAGCAAGTTATCGTAACGAAAGGAAACGAGAATCAAGGCACACGCGGTGATCTTTCGAGCAAACAACGTGTTCCGTGTATCGTGCTCTAGTTTCGTGTAAACGCTCTCGTGTACGAAGATCGGGTTCGATGTCTGCCCGAAGACGTAAAATTTTATCGTCCTCCATGGACGTTACGCTTTATGATCCTTTCGAAACGCGTTTCAAGCTGCGAGAGAACCGTTTCGTAGCGGATTTCGCGTCTCCCAGTTTTCCAGTTTTTGTCTCGTCTCCCAGAGACTTATTTCCGACGGCGCGATGGCGGGTACCGTGGAAATAGGGGTACGAGATACGCGCGCAATTGCGAGCTTTCTTCCATGAAAACAGGTTTCGCGCGGAGCTCGCGATCGAAACGCTACAATGACGAAACGATTTCAATGCGATATATTTCCCGGTGAATTAATTCGGCCGTTCGGCCGTTCATCGATGCCCATTTATCCCCGATCCCCCTAACGAACGGTAATTTGCAACGTCGACCGCGGACAAATGGTACTGCGACCGCCTCCGTGTTTCGCTCCGTGACAACGTACACGCGCTAACTAACAAAATTGTCTGGCTCTCCGCACGCGAGAAGAAAATTCGAATAAATCGAACAAACGCACCGGGTTTACTCGTCTCGCATAGAGGCGAGTAAATCGTTCGTTACGTTCCAGATTCGAATATTCTTCGACTGTCGTTGGATTTCACCGATCGTGTCATCTTGTCGCGTAGCGTTATCTTCCGTTCGCCGCGTCCGACCATTCCCGGTCGCTTCCACTGGTGCCGGTCATTAGAAACACGTATCGCGGGGTTTCCCGTCGATTCGATACGGTCGCCGCGAGTGGAGGCGAGGAGCGATGGTCAGACCTAACCCGGACCGAGCACACTCGAAAGCGCATAGAAAGAATCTGTTAGATTCGTACCACGGTATCTCGTAAACACCCATGCATAGTATAGGTACATAGAAAAATCCGAGTCGCTAAATAGCCATCCTTCGCGTATCCCATTCTCAAGAAACCTGCACGCGTTTCCGACACCGAGGGTGTCCTCCTCGAGTCTTTTGTCCTCCGCTCGCGGCACTCGCGGGTCTCGCGGCTCTCGCGAGAGCCTCCATTGTCTCTCTCCATTCATCGTCCCCTTGTCTTCCAGCCTGTGGACATACGTTTTTTTCTCAAATGGGAACGTAAAGGTTCGAGTGTTGCTCGCGAGTGTCCCATTCAGCTCGGGATTTCTATTTAAGGGCGGCAGCGCGAGAACCGCGATGGTCTGCGAGCACTCGAACGAGACAAGGCTGACCTAACGCCGGTGGCTCGCGTTTCGATCGCAGCCGGGACCGGGACCTTGACGTTTAAGAAGATTCCAACTCGCGAACGTTGAATGCGCCCGACGTCGATCGAGGTAACTTGATCGTTTTCCAAATTCCCCCGTCTCTCGCTACGATTCGAACGAACCGACGAATTTACGAACGCTTCAACTATCGCGCGCCTCGGACAACACCGACGCTGAGATGAGTGGTGTGCGTTATCGTTGCGCGAGGACAGCGATCCGGTAATTATGGCGAAAATAAATTCGACGCTGGCGGAAGGTCTAGCTGATTCGACGAGGTCGATGCTTTCGTCTTTATACCGGAATATCGACTGTCGCCCGCGTGGTCGAGGTCGCAGTTGAATATCACGAGTAGCAGAGACACGGTGAAAGTGCCGGGAGTTGGACAACTCAGCTGTGAAGCTCGTCAATGACGAGCGGCAGGGTGCGGCTAGTAGAAAACACTAGCTGGGATAAAACTATTTCGTAAAACGATGGAACGAGCCGGATCGAGGGGAGAGGCTAGTGGCTCCTAGAAACGACGGATTCTTCACTGGAGAGCCACTACTCTCCGCTCATAATTCTCGTTAACTCTCTACAGTCTTTTCGCGTGAAACGGCCGGAAATCGAGGCAGTTGGGACTTTTGCTCGTTTCTCTTTTCCAGCGCTTTGCTTCCCGGTAACGATCAGACCTCGTGACCAACGTTTCCATCCAAATTTCGCATCGAACGACTCTTATCTTCGTCGTCCTTGCAAACTTTCTTCCCTTTGCAAGGAAATTCTAACGTTATCAGCCGTGTCGTGTCGTGTCCTTTCGTGTCGTGTCGTGTCGTGTGGTGTGGTGGTTCACTATAAAAGTGTACCCTGTTCCGGATCAATAGTCACCGAGCAGAGATTTTAATTGGTCGACGGGACGATGAAAGAGAAAAAGAAATCGTTACCCGTTACCGTCGGCGAAACGCGAAACGCGAAGGAAACAAAGGGGAAAATATAAGCCTCGTCTTATATTTCCGGCTAGTTGGGCGCGTAATGGAAAGAAGGCGGTCTCGAGCAAACTGTTTCGGCGGCGAGTTAACATGCGAATAATTGGTGAGAATAATAGCCGCGATTACCGGCGGAACGAGGAGCTTGTCCTTGTTCCCGTGTTCGTACCAGTTGGTGGTTTTCGCGTGAAAGAGTACGGGGCTCGCGGAGCCCTGAATCCGACGTATACGCGAGTACTCGCTCGTGCCAGTACCGCGTCACTCGTGAAATATTTACGTGGGCTTTCGAGGAAGGCGGTGGTTGGCTCGAACCGAGGTTGCCCTCAAGGTTGCGCGCTTATGTATACGCCAACTAGACCATTTCGAACGTAAATGTCGGAGGTTTACGTTACGTTGGATCGATACAATACGATACGATGCCTGTTCGATGCTTTGCCTTTTCGAGTTCAATTTGCTAGCCGAGGAACCACTTCAATTTTTCCCCCATTTCTCGACTGTACTCGAACCTGCTCGATATCTTGTTCGCTTCTCTATCGCGGCGCGCGATAAACTCGAGAATAAACTCGAGAACGCCAGTCGTAATCTTTCATCTTGCCGCGTAGTCGGCTTGTCGGTTAAGGGGTCGCTTTAAGGGGTGACGCGTAATTGCGCTTCAATTGTTTCCTCCATGAAACGCTAGTTTAAAGTCCGATGGCTCTCCTATTCCTTGATCGGAAACGAACTCGAATACTACTCTCCCGTGAACCGTGAACGACAACCAACAGATCGGACCTAGACCGATAGAGAGAGAGAGAGAGTGAGTTTCTCAGGTGCGTTAATTCCAGTATTTCGGCATTCGCGTGTCGAGTCTCGGTAATCGTGCCAAGAGCACGCGTTCGCGCGGGCAAGACCCGAAAACGGACTAGCAACCGGTTCAATTTTCTTTGGAAATTACCGCACCTGTTGTTACATTTGCGGGGAGATCCGCGAACCGATCGGCGATTATCGTCGATTCTAATAAATCGCGATTAAGAGAAGCTGTTCACCTGCTTGAAACCCCGGTACATCACCCGGATTTCCTGCCTGGAGAACTTGGTTTGTCGGAGAAGTTCCTCGAGAGCGACCGGCCTAGCGGTCTGCTGCCTGGTCCTCGAGCTCTCGAAGTCGAAGAGCGCCTCTTCCGGTCCCGGCGAGTCCGGCGGCGTGGCCATTCCTTCGGAAACCTTGGCTACCTATCGCAACGAGTCCCGCTCGACGAATCTCCGCCGGTTTCCAGGCCGCCTGGATCGTTTCACGGTGACACCAGGGCTGCTGTTCCGAGCCGCCCCGACGGTTTCATTCTCGTCAGGTTCATCCGTTCCCTCGTCCGCGTTCGGCTGCCGGTCACCACCGCGATTCCTGCTAACCAGCGAACCAACCGATGCCGCTACACTGCCGGCGCTGTAAATCAAATTGCCAATCTGATTCGGTACTCCAGAGCTGGATCGGATAAAGATATCGATCGAAAAGAGGGTACTCGCGGCGCAACGTGTCCCCCTGATCGAGACTATCTCTACTCGACTGTAAAGTGATCTTCAAGTTTCGAGAACCCATCGAGAAACTCGATCGTCATCGCGCGAACAAAGTGTCTTTCGAATCTGGTTAATATCGGGCCGACGGAACCCGAAAAATTCTATCGACGTCAGTACGAGGCAACGTTCGCCCTATTAAACAAATCATTCTATCGAGTCGCCGAGTGTAGCGAAGCGTCACGGCGCGAATCGAGCCGAATAAAATATTTGCGCGAGTCCACGGTATTTCGAACTGTGTTCCACAACGGAAACGCCGGCGATCTGCTTTCGACGAATCGAGTTTGCCCGGAAGCACGTGTTGTCGCGGCCGCCGCGCGGTCTGGCCAGACACGAACCCATTCTACTTTCTACGTTCTGCTTTCTCATTTTTACCTTCGCGCCTTCAACCGGAGACGTTTCGGATGGTATCGGGTGCGCGATCTTTTCGACTAATTCGAGAAGAACGCGTTACGAATTATCGAATTATCGAATCTACGATTAGAGGCACTCGTGATCGTTCAACGAGCATCGCCTCGAAAATGCAACAGCGTTTAAGCAGCTTACGCGCGCCGCCTTCCCGCGATATCCTGACTCGAAAGAAAAACGACTCTATTATCTTAACGAGAAGACCCCCTCCAGAAGAGCGTTACGCTGCCTTTTTAATGAACCTTTCACCCTCTCGGGAGAACCCCGGCAACGGTTCGCAACGAATTAACGATTCAAGGTGTGCCGTAACCGCCACAATGTTCCTCCGTTGCGTTTAAGCCTATCTTCCGTAATACCGAGCGAATCAAGGTTAAACGTGTGTCTCCGTATAATTCTCGTGCCGTTGTACAGCCTGCGCGATATTTCAATATTTCCCGCTCGTCTCTCGCGTCTGAAAGAGGAAATAATGATTTTCGCTAGAACGGCTCCGCGCGCATCTTCTGGGGGAGCGTATAACGAGGTACGCGGGCAATCCCGGCGAGAAAAATTACGTAAGGGCATCCCCTTTGAATATTCGGGTCACACGGTTAACGCCTATCGAGATAAACACAATTAAATATCGCGGCGTCGCCGTGTAAACCGAGAGGGGAACAGAGAAAAGAGACAAAAACACGTTCGTGAAAGTTCGAGCGACCTTTCCGGAACGATAATGAGATAACTCCGGCCCCGGGGATCGTCAAAACAGTTTTCCAAACCAGAATCGGGAAACGGAGAATGAGAATCCGAGGGAAAAGGAGAGAAAGAAGCAACGGATTGTATCGTTTGCCGATGATCGTTTCACCCTGCGAAAAATCTGCGAACAATCTCGGACTCCGCGCATCGGTTTCGCCGAAATTTCGAGGAGATCGACGCCACCGACACGGGGACGCTCGGCGATAACGATAACGAGGTAACGCGGCTCGGGTGCAGATATCGCGTAATAGCTACACAACGTCCCGTCGTAGGTATCTGCCTATGAAAAATAAAAATTCACATTGCTTATCGATCCCCTGGTGCCCCGTTCTATAGACTGTCGCGCGATAACGACACGAACTCGTAACAAGTTTCGCCTCGCGGCTCGGCGCCGACCGATATTACAACGCTGAATCGAATCGTAAATAACTTTTGCTCCTGTAACGCTACGTCCGCTCGAATTCGACTTTCCTGCGTTTCGATCGAACGAACCGAGATCGACCAATCGCGCGGCTAACGCGTCGAATCGCTCCGGATTATTAGGCACGATTTACAAGCGAAATAGGATATCGTGAGAACGTATTTCAACCCGCGGATTTCTCCTTACGGACAGTGGACCCGTTGCAGAAATCCGAGTACCGGAAATCGCTGATTGCGGCTCTCGTTACCTAGTTTCGCGCCACTCGGTTTGTTAACGAGAGCGAGAGCGCTATAAAAACGAATTCATTCAAGAAGGAGGCGGAATTATTAACGGAACGAGTCGCGTGCGATGTATTCTACATTTCAAAATTTATCCTTCGATTCTCTCGATATCTATATATCACTGCTATGTACACCTATGTAATTATTACGTGTTCGAATGCGCGAAGCTGGCCGAGCTCGCTTCGTTTCAAAGAGTACGATAGGAATATCGTTAATAGATCGTTGATAGGACTGGCCAATTGCTATTTCCATTAAGCGTTTCGTATATTGTAGTCGTGTAAACTTCCGCGGTCCACGGAATCCACATTTCTCATCGGATCTAATTCGTATCGGCCGTTGAAAACATTGCAAATTCAAATGGAAAAACAAACGAGTAAACTATTGTTCGCAATAATTGTATTATTAGTCTCCGCTCGTTCAATTCCAACGTCGTATTCCCATCCGAGCTGCGCGTTCATTGTCAGTAGTAAATTTTGAGATCGCATTAGTGCCATCGAAAATAGACCGTGAAGTAAACCGAATACCATGCGTGCAGGAATTACGCGCACCTCGTTAAATCTTCCATCAAATACACGCGATTCGCCTCGACGATAAAATTCAGTTACATGCTACACGATAAAACGCGCGTCCTACTTTACGAGAAATTACGAAGGTGAGAATTATTGTTTGTAAATAAACATTGAAAATCGATCTGCTACTTCCCTCCCGGCGGTTCCGCGTGCGAAACGGAATCTACGAATAATCGGGTCAAAATTATTCGGTTCGTTATCGTTTTCCGCCGGAACACGTCCGAACGATCTTTCATGTTCCGCGGATTGAGGCGGGTCAATTTAAAGTTTTCCAATTTCGTTTCGTCTTCCGAACGATGAAAATCTTCGGTGGGAAAGAAATGTATCTGGCGGAACAAAAGTTCGATATTTATGGCATGTTTTCACGGAGAGCCGATATTCCATTGAAAACGATTCGCCCGAGAAGAAGAGCTCTGTTTGCTGTGTCGAACCGCTGTTCGAAATAAATACATGAATAAATAAATGAACGGAATGAAAGGAATAACAGGAATCCGTTCGTTCCTCCGCCGGAGGCAACAAAAAAACGGGGAAACAAAAGCAGCGAGTACAACTGTGGAAACGATCGCAGGGATCGCGTTTCTAAACGCAGCTGGCAACCGAGAGAACCGGCTGCTCTGTGCGCTCTTGTTCTCCTCGTGGTTGTTCAACTCTTACAGTCATTCACACTTCCGGAGGCAAATCTGGACGCGTCTCGTGGAGGCTCGAACCGAGACAATCGATAGGTCGTTGCATCTCGTCTTGCTCTCCGAACTATTTTTAATTGGATCAAAATGAAGAAACCGGTCAGACTGGCAAAGATGTTTCAAGTATTTCCCAAATTCTCCTGCCAGTGGTTGCACTGGCCATTGGAACAAGCGAGAACTCGTGGACGGATAAAGATATCGAGAAAGATCGCGGCGCGTAATTGAATTCCGTGTGACCGATGGTGAGCAGTGACCTCGGTGCCAATGCCACTCATCGTGTCAGCTCGACGTGACCCAACGTATCGACGGTATCCTTGAAAACCGCGCAATCACATTACGGTCTTTGTTTACTTCCGGCTGGCTTACGGGCGAGCGTCGGTTGCTCCGTGCCACTGGCAGAATCTTCACTACCCTTCTATTCCCTTATCTCGGAGAGCTCCGATTACCCTATTTAAATAGCGATACGCGCGATCATTGGTCGAGCTCCGAACGTTTCGTTCCTTCGTACCCGTACGGTCAAGTGTACCGAGTTCAAAACGATCCACGAAACACTCCCTCGCGTTCGCTTCGAAGAAACCTCGTCTGTCAGCCGCGATCGAGTTGTATTTACACACTTGTGCTCGCTAACGATTGCGCGTGTGAGAAAGAAGGCATGCGTAACATTATTACCAGAGTGGTTGTACTCAGAGGAACTTACGATGGCCTCGGGTGTTGGGCTCGCGGTCTTTTCAGCGGAAGTTCAAAATGAATTTTCGGTGTTACAGCGTAACACTACAGGAACGGAGGACACGGTCGAAGCGCGAAACGCAAACGAGTAGCGGATAAATATGTAGCATTGACTTCTGAGGTAAAACCTGAAGAGTTTCATGAAACTGCTGCTCGAACGCAGGGTGGATGACCGCGTTCCGATGGTTTCGGGACGGTTGGTCGATGGCTGGACGCACGGTCGCACGGCAGACGGCAGACTGTACACGGCACACGGCACACCGCACACCGCACACGTTCCTCCGGGGAGGATATCACACCGAGAAGC